CTGGCCCCGCCCAGCCGCGCTCCCCCGAGTGCCAAGCGGGGCGGGGGCGCCCTCCAGAGGCGCCGGCCGCTCCCTGCCCTGCCCTGCCCTGCCCTCTCCGCCGGCGGCGCCGGGCCCGGGGGACCCGCCGCCCACGAAAGAGGCGGGGGACACCGGGCTGCGGCGCGGCGAAGAGGGCGGCCCTGTCAGAGCCGCGGAGCTACCGCCGGTGGGGGCGGTGGGGCCGCACCGGGCGCCTGTTGCCACGGGGCGCCGCGGCGGGCTGTGGGCGGCCCGGTGAGGAGGGAACCGGCAGCCCGCGAAGCCGGACTTTTCCCCGGCCGCCGTGTGCCGGCGCGGCGAGAAGGGAAGGAGAGAGAGAGAGAGGGAGGGCACAGCTCGTTTCCCGCCCCCTGCTCGGCCTCTTCTCCTCCCTCCCCGCATTCCTCCTTCCCTCCCCGTCGCGCCGGCGAGGCTGCCAGAGCGGCGCTCGCCCAGCGCCCGGGGCTACCGCCCCGCCGGGAGGAGGGAAGGAGGCGCTGCCTGCGGGGGAGGAAGCTGGATGAAGACTTGTGCCTCAGGGCGGGTCGGGCATGAAGGGGACGGTGGGGACTCTGCCCTGCCCTGCAGCCCAGCGGGGACATCAGGTAACGGCCCCGCGCGCCTTTTCCCCTCAGCCCTGCGCGCCTCGCCCCGGCCCGGCCCGGCCCGGGAGAGGGCAAGCGCCACCGCAAAAGTTGTTCTCCCGCCGCTTGGCGAGGGGTGGAGGGTAGGGGAGGGAGGCGAGGGGGCAAGGGCTCGGTGCAGGGGGTGCGCACGGGTTTGTTGCCGACCTCGGCGAGACCCGCTTCGCGCTCTGGAAACTCCGGCGAGTCGCTGAGGCGATGCCGGTCCCGCCGCGGGTGAGGGCCTCGGGGGTCCCTCTCCGGGCCTCGGCGCCCGCCGTTCGGTGCCGGTGCTGCCGCCGGCAGAAAGTTTCCAGCGAGGGGCAGAGGGGAGCGGGAGGGGCTGCGTGGGGCGGGCTGTGCGTGGGGAGGGGGCACAGGGGGCCGTGGGCGGCGGGGCGGGAGCGGTGCCGGCAGCGTTTCGCCGAACTTCGTCCACTCCTGCGGCCTCGGCGGCCGTTTGTCACGGAGGGGTAGGATTAAGTGTCCCTAGAGGTGTAACGTTGGCATCTTTAATAGTCTGCTGTGGAATTTCCTCACCTCCTTGCGCCGGCCGAGAGATGTTTAGAAAAAAAAAAAAAAGGAACAACAAAACCGTACCGTAAAGAAGTGCGTATAGCAGTGCACCTGGGACTCGGGTGTGCTTGTGGTGTTGGGTGGCACAACTCGGAATGCACGGCTTGTTCTTTGGAAACCACACTTCGCTGGGGCTTTTTGACTGAGCATTTGTGGATTGAGTGTAAACTTTTAGTAAAAGATGTGGATTACCGTTAGCGCTGTTGGAGATTAAATCCCACACAGTATGGTTTCACAATAATTTTCTTCCCCCCCTTTGCTCATAAGGGAAAGTAAGTCAGATTCGTATTTGTTTTATTATTATTTTAAAATCATTGAAGGAATAAAAAGTGGTCAGAGTGCCTCACAGAGGTTCTCCCTGCCTTTGCTACAAAGTGAAAAAGCAGCACTGAACTGCCTTAAAGACAAACCAATAAAAAACCCCTATACCTTCAAAATCCCCTTTTCTTACCATTCCGAACAAAGAAGTGTACATTGCAAAATGCCTTGAGAGTGAAAAGATCCAAGTCATTTGAAATAAGGCGAGGTATCCCTCACAGAGAATGTCTTGCACTAACTGCCTTGATTAAAGTGGAGAGAAACTGCCTTAAGAATGACCAGCTGCAGTTCTGTTTTACTTCCAAATTTTGAAGTACCAAGGTACTTGTTTGTTGCAATGTAACCTACTAAATGTAAACTACAGTGTTTGTTGCAAAAGCCAAAGGAAAAACTTAAATGCAAAGAGCTTAATTTCATTAGATCAGAAAAGCATGTATAGCTTTTTGGGGGGTTGCTATTTTTTATTTTTTTTTTTTTTGGTAATACAGCAAATTTGGAATCAAAATTAGGAGAGCATTCAAAAGCAGACTAGATTGAGCAACATACATCTATTACTGCAGGTAACGCCTGTGATTGTTCATTGGACATTGATAAGGCACTGTAATTATGGTAATTTTCAAAATGGGACTTGTTAATAAACACAGTTATCTCCCTAAGAAGGTCTATCAGAGTAAATGACCCAATGCAGCTTGGAGACTACTTTATGTATGCTCACTTTTTTATTAATGGACTTTTATACTGCATTAAGCTGAGAGCGAGCTGAGGAAAGAATAGGCACGTATAAGACTTGAAATGCTTCCCACTTTTGTGTGTTTTGTTCTTTGGTGGTGGTTCTTTTTTTTAGATTGTCAGCTTCAAATGTAACATCTCTCTGGGCTTTCATGCAAGTGGCAGATTTTATTAAACATATGAAACAATTTTCTATTGTAAATTGTTCTGTAGATCTTACATTCTTAAAAAGATAGATATGACTAGGGAATTATCATTTTTCTTGACAGCATGACAGTTAAAACTTGGTTTGCATAGGAGCAAGCATGTGTAGTGCATTAAAAGAAGGTGTCATTCTAAACTTTCATTGCCTAACTTTTCAACATGTTTTTGTGAAAGTGAATACATCGCTTGTAAAATGACTGCTAGGATATAACTAAGAGGTAAGAAGTTCATGTAGTGACGTAGGATCTAATTTAAGATTTTGAGTACAGTTTTAATATTTGTATGCCTATGGATTTAGTTTTGTAAACAGGTATTTGAGTTAATTTTCTTCATTTTGGCATCCCAGTTAAACTCACAAAAGTACTGTTGGTGCAGCAATACTTAAGCTACACAGAGGTTGAGTGTGGAATTTTGATTTTTTTATAACATCCCGAAGCAAAATGCTTTGTTTGCTAATAAACTGTCTGTTTTGATAACCTGTCCCAAGTTTTATGTAGCTATTGCTATCAAAAGCTGAGCTTGTGTTTAGGAATCAGGAGTTTAAATGTGTGTTGAACAAATGATCTTTAACAGCATGTGAGCTCTTAAGCAATGAAAATGGCCAGGTGAAGCAAGGGAGGTGTATGAAATGCCATTAAGGTATGGAAGTGTGGGAGGTTTGGTGAAAGGGGGAAAAAAGAGAAGGAATTAAGGGGTTTTTGGTCATGAACTTTTGCCATAATAACTGTTACCAGCTTTTGAAGATAACCTATGCCTTGAGGATTTGAGGTAAAAGTATACCTGGAGGTATACAGTTGAGGTATTTGTTTTTACCTGAAAACTGTGTTGCATATACAGCGTTTTTCTTGTAGTTCTGTTTGCAAACCTTGTACTGCTATACTTTAAAGCCTTTTCTTGAAGGCTTCTCTTGAACCACAGCAGAAAATTCATTGCTTCATTGTTAAACCTGTTTGGTTTGGTTGAGCTAGGTAAAATCATGGTGAACTAGTTAACTGTGTGTAGTGTTTCTGTGGGAACAAGAGGCTGATACAAAATGGAATACTGACTAAAGACAATTCCATCTTAGTTACACAGGTTCAACCCTCAGGCATTGAGGAGTGTACTATAAATCTGTAGAAAGTAAGGGCTGGCTTTTGGAAAAGGATTCCTTCTGGTGGCCACAAACAAGTAGTATTCCTGTAGAATGAGCAGTGAGCTTTCACTTTGCACACCCATTCTGGGTGGTTTTCCCTGTCTTCTGTTAGATCTCCACTCAGTCTCCTCTCAACTGAAAGTCTCCTAATTCTTAATTTTTCCTGTTATGTCACCTTTTCTAGACCTCTGGTAGTTAATATTTTCTGCTGAATTCCTTCCAGTTCTTCTGAATTCCTTAGGTAGGGTACCCCCTATAAAAAAATAAAACTGTAGCTTAACCAACAAGTAAGCTGTAAAGATCGGTTTACACTTCAAGGCAGTGTGTTGTCTATGTGAGAATATTCTATTACTGATCACTTCTAGCTCTTGGTAACTCTAACCATCAAAATACCACTTTGAAGGATAGCTATGTATTATTTGTCCTAACCCTGTATTTTCTCAGTTGATTATTCTTACCTAAATTATTTACCTTCTTGAATTGCATCTTAATTTTCTCCTAGATTATGTCTTCAGTTTAGTAGGATTATTCTGAATTTCAGCCCTGTATACTAGGACTTTTAGCTCTAGCTTCTAGCTCTCCTTGGGCTAATGTCATGCTCAGATTTAAAAAGTCTACTCTGTCATTTGAGTTATTAATAAAGTAATTATCTATCAGGACAGACTGGGGGAGCCCCTCTTATGAGAGTCTTTCAGTTTGTCAATGAGTTGGTAATAATGATTCTCTGAATATGGTATTGTAACCTATTTTAAAAATAAAATCAATGCAACAGATTTCAGTCTGTAGGTACTATATGAGTGCATAAATATGAGTATTATTGCCTGTTATCAATTATTATCAAACCCAAAGCAGGAGTAGTATGTATTTCTGTTAAAGGTTTTGTTGTCACAGCTTCCAAGGAAGGAAAATGCTTTTGAGGCTTCAAGTTTAGAAATTCTTTTTAATACCGTATTTTTCATTGAACAACCAAATACCTGTTCCTGAATGTCAGATCAAAATACTCCTGGGCAATGTACCTTGCAATCTTCTGTATACTGTTTGTAATTAAAATGCTTTCCTAAAGCGTCATGAAAATTACCAAGATAATATAAGTGCTAGTTTTTCTTTTTGGTTTCTGACAATTATTCGTAGTAAGGGACTTTAATCAGCAAATATTAGGAAATAATATAGTCAGATTACTGAGCTGTTGGATTAACTGTCATGTTTTAGATAATTTCCAAATGTCGTGCAAGGTCAACATTTCTACACATTTATGAAAACATTAGAGGAAGACTACATAGAGGATTAAAACAACTTATTTGCTGTTAGGGGTGTATGCTCTGAAAATCTTAGCAATCTAAAATCTCTTAAGAAACTGTCATTATGTTAAATTTGATGTTAAATTTACCTGCTTTCTGCTAATATGTGATACTGAGCATCTAATTATCTTTTTTCCACTTCAGTGGAGAGGCTCACCATGATGTTCCAAATTAATATATTTGTCAATATTGCTGTTGGTTTAAGTCACATAACATGTATCAGTCTCTGAAATTGAAGAATTACTTTTCTAAGCTGCAATATAAGCAAATCATATAAAAATACCCAAATAAATTACTAACTTGTGGTTGTGCATTAAGCATTCACTAGTTCTGAAGATGAACATTTTTTATAAACAATTCTGAAAACTTCATAATGTCATGTCTGTATAAACCTGGAGAGACAGCTTCTCTTTGCTTTCTAAGAGTTGATCTATGGAATTTGGAGTTGAGTATGGAATACCATTACGCTGTATTATAATGAAAAAATTACTGCTAAAAACATGTTTCTCTGTGTTGTAGAAAAGTAGACAGTATTTAGAATAGAACAGTTCTAAGGAAGAAGTTTCAAGATTCAAGAAACTGTGCAATGTGTATAGAAAAACCCCATGCATTAATTAAAAAAATGACAAAATAGCATATTTTTCAGTTTATGCTAAACTCAGCAATTTATTTGATTTCAGAAACAAAGAAATTCTTTACATAAATTCTGGCAGTTTTTCCAAACTAAAGTTTCTTTGTTAATGAGGAACTGTAAACTAATTTGCAATGTTATTTGTGAAAAATGTACTATATGAAAAATTCATGGCATAATACGGTTTCCTTGGTTTGTTCTCTTTAGACACAGCATTTCTTCAGGCTATGAAGTCTGCATGAAGGTTTTTGCTAGGAGGTCTGAAGACACCCGTATTTTTTTTATACGTACTTTTCACAGAGGTGCACATGCACACATATGCACTCAGTCTTTTTCTGGTGTCAGTTTCAAAACCTGCACATGTTTGAATCAAACACCAAGAAAAGAGAACTGAAATGGAAAGATCATAGAATTATAGAATGGTTTGGGTTGGAAGGGACCTTAAAGATCATCTAGTTCCAAACCCCCTGCCATGGTCAGGGACACCTCCCACTAGACCAGGTTGCTCAAAGCCCCATCCAGCTGAACGCCCCCAGCTCTCTCAGCCTGTCCTCATAGGAGAGGTGCTCCATCCCTCTGATCATCTGTGTGGCCTTCTGCTGGACCCATTCCAGCAGATCCATGTCCTTCCTGTGTTGAGGACTTGGAGATCTTCTCGGGATTTTTTCAGGCATGTGGTGAGTTCACTAAGCTCCACAGACAGTGTGATCTCCTTCTTCCCTTAGTTCTGGCTGGCTGGCTAATGCCAGGTCGTCCCTGGAAGTTTTTCAGTTGCTTTGGTCAGTGCAAGACAAAGTCAAATTGAACAACCTTAACGGTCTTGTCAGTGTGAACCATG